TCTGCATTTAATTTAGTGAGATGTGAATCTCGTACTAAGTCATCAAGTTTTTGTAGGATAGGAAAATGAGGTGAATCATTTGGTCCCCTGAAATCACACTCATCACGGAGTTCATCCAGTGTGTCTGCATCAGAATGATATGCAGCTGCTTCTTTGGATTGAGGTGGATTAGGAGCAGGCAATTCATCACTGTGTGGAACTAGTTCAATAGAAGAGGGTATAATTGGATAAACTAGAGTCAGCCTATCCTTCAGCTTTTTATAATTTAAAATGTCAACCATGCAGAAATAACAGTTATCATGATGGTTCGTTAGTTCTCTCCATATTCTTGGAATTGCAAAGGACATTAACTTTCTGATTCCACGCAGCCATCCTTCCAGAGTTGATTTTCATCTGCCACAACTGTAGTGTGGTGATCTCCCATAGCCATGCCAAAATAATCATGATATGCAGTAAAGAATTTTTTACCACTGACAATCTTATGTTTAGTTTGTGTTGGACTAACATAGTAACCACAAACATAACAAAATGAGTCAGGACAAAGCTTGCAAGATCTGCTAGACATATAACAGTTGTATTTAGTTAAATGAAAATAAACAAAAGAATATAGTTAACTCATTCTCTCAGTAGCATTTGTTAACAAAATCGTATCCAAAATGTGCTAATATTTATTAAAAAAAATCCTTTAAATCAACATAATTAAACATAAACAATTACAAATTGAATACCTAAAAAACTAGAATCAGGAAAAGTAAATATTAAAAGTGGGGTTATAGAAAAAAGACACAAAATATACAAAGCCACTGACAGTGGCTCGCCTAAGAAAAAAACAAATCTGCGAGCCTCATTGGCTCAGCAGAGAGAGTGAGTTAAAATCAGCATATATATATAATGTTATAAATGCATTACACATTATGAAAACTCGGAAATATGCTTTTTCTCAGGAATCTTTGATGATAGAGCAAAACCAATGGTACCACTGAAATCAGCATACCAAAATTATGTAAGAAACAATAAAAAATTAACATAAACAAAAATGTTGTTTCATTGTGATATGGTTTTTAATAACATTCTTATACTGGTTTTTTGAACTTATCAATGTTATTTTAAAATAGTCAAAACATTAAAAAAAAAACTTCAAAGACAAATTTTTTTACCTTCAAGGCGCTTCCAAAAATGTAATAATGAATAAACATTTTTCTGCTTTTTTTATAATAATAATAATAATAAAATTAATGTAATACTTGTTAGAGTAATATTTAGTTTTAAATGCGCATGATCTGTTTTATTATTTTTAATTATTTATGTGAAATATGACTCTTATAAATCACAATTGAGTTTAATTTTCAATTTTGGTGTTTAAAAAAAAATTATTTAATTTTGCAGGTGACTGGCTGAGGAAAATAAACTTGTTTTTTTGATACTATATATTTAACTTACATTACCGAGCAATTATTATTTTGAATTTTTATATCTATTATTAGGAATTAGGTTTTTTAGAGTTTCGTAACAAGAATTTCATAAGTATTGAAGTCATTCATTAAAAGTATTTAACAAAGGCAATTTTAAAAAACAAGTGGTTCTCTTCCTGAGTGATTTTTCATCACATTTATCAAAAATATCAAATCAAAAACAGTTTTTCTGCAAGACCAAGGAGCAACTTTAAAAATTTTTTTTAGTCTGACACTTTATAAATACTTAATAAGTGATTTAAATAAGAAAATATTTAAGTTTGTCAAAAACTTTACTTACACTTCTTTTGTTAATGCATTTTGCCTTAGTATCATTAGGTTGAATTTTTAAAATGCTGTAAAGTATTTACATTTAAATCTTTTAAAATATTTTTGATATAAAAACTGCTTTCACAGTTTACGAGGGAGAAGGGGTTCAGGTATATGTGATTGTTTGTGATATGAGGGAAGGAGTTAAAAAATGTTTTTCTAAAGCAAAAATATTACCCAAATAAGAATTACATAATGATGTAAGTGTTCATTTTGTAAGCAACAAAAGCTCAACGAAAAAGCGCTTAAACTTTAGTAAATTTTAGACAATCTTTGCAACAGAGGAGTCTCAGAAACATTTGAAAGTCTGAAAACTTGTACTTAATTTAACTACGCCAGTGAAACTTTAGGCCAGGTGAATAAAAAAAAGCAATTGCTTTCACTTATTAATTGTTCAGCTTTACGTGAATAAAAATTTTAACTAACGTTACACAAATTTAAAATGTGCTTTAACTAATTAAAAGTATAAAATAATTTAAAACTATAAAATAATTTAAAACTTTTTAAAATAATTTAAAACTTTTAATGTAAAACCATTTAATATTCTTTTGCATATATTAATACAAAATTTAAGTTTTTAAAATAAATTTTAGAAAAAACAAAACTTTTTCATGTTTTTGTTAACTTAGTTGCATGAAATTGAAAAAGTTGTTATTTTTTTAAATACAATAATAGTTTCTTGAAATATATATATTTTATAAAGTATAAAATCTGACCAAAAACAATTTGAACATGTTAGTTCCATTTTCACGCTAAATAAGTTCATATTATGCAAATAAATTCATGATTAAAATAACATTTTATAATGAAAATTTTTTTATCATGCGACAATGAAAAAAACTGTAATTTTAGGAAGCATAAAAATGACTTGAATAAATTAATTTTAGAACTATAAGGTATATTATGAATAAACTTTTATGTGTCTACATCAATATTCATTTGCTAAAAGTTGTCAAAAAAGAGAATAAAATTTGATTACTTTTTCACTTTCCGTTGTGAAATTGCCCATATATATATATATATATATATATATATATATATATATATATATATATATATATATATATATATATATATATATATATATATATATATATATATATATATATATATATATATATATCTGTGTGTGTGTGTGTGTGTGTGTGTGTGTGATATTTATAACGTAATTTTTTCAAGTTAATATTTTATTTTTTCTCATTCATTAAGATTTATTTTCTTATTTCAGTTTATGTTTTTTTAAAAATCTTTTTTTAGTTTAGTTTGATTATTTCACCAGTGTAAAATAGACAGGAATGGCAGGCAATCACATGCGCCTGGCATGTGATTAACTACCATTCCTGCATAGGCTTACAAATATATAGTCCAGTCTTTACAAGAAGATATCACTTTTTGAATTTTAACGTAAATGAAAATCAAGTTATTTACTGTTAACAACTACCACAATATTGTTGTTATTTCTACATTGATAAATGGCAACACTTTTACTGAGCTACTTAACTGTTTTATGTCTTCCCGGATTATCTTCCACTATTTACCATTTATGATGAACCATAATTGATACATAATCAATGAAAAAGTTACTATTTTTATTTTAAGGCAGATACTAAAGTCTGCTACTAGTTATTTTATTTGTTATATTCTAATTCCTGATTTCATTCTCTATATCTATAAACCTCTTATTTGTTCTTATTTGTTAATTTACTTGTTCTTGTATGGTATACTGTTTTCATATTTGGTTCTTCTAATAAGGGCCTCTCTTTTTTAAATAAGGTTCAAAAAGTTGTAAATGTTGTTATACCTGCTCTAGTTGCTAGGCTTGATCCTCTGTCCTATCGTCATAAGTTTTGATCATTGTTATAAGGCTTGATCCTATCGTCATAACTTTCTAAAATACTACCATGGTTGCTGCTTAAACAAGTCATCACTTGTTTCATCAACCAAAACTTAATCGAGAGTGACTCGTTATTTAACTAAGTTGGATCATTTTACTGTAATTGTTTCTTCATTCTCAAAAAAGTTTTATTTGTCTAGTTTTTTTCTGCAAACAATTTACAGTTTTAAAAGTTTTTCTTTTTATCTTCACGCTTTCATGCTCTTGAGCTCTCTTGTTTTTCTGCAATGCATAAATAATTTTAACAATGTTCTTTTTTCTATTATATATTTATTAGGGATTTAGACTTAATATTTGTTGCTGTTTTTAATAAAAAAAGCGCCAAAAACAGAGTTATTAGTGAACAACATCAACACTTGATTGGTATTCAAAAAGAACACACACACAAAAAAAAAAAAAAATTAATATTTAAAAAAAAAGAATTGGAATTCAATGAATTTTTTAGCAAATCTACTTACAAATAAAATTGTGACTTTTTTTTTGACCACCAAAGAAGGATCTCAGTGGCTGGTGAACTTTAATTTAGATAAAACTCAACTTTTTTCAGCTAATCATTATCGCAGCAATCCAGATCTTCCTATATTTATGATTGGTAATGGATTCGATGAGTCATAGTCATAATGCTCTTCCTTCAAAAAAAATAAATAAATTGCCATCAAAAAAAAATAAATTTCTTGTGTTTCAATTCAATTAGGTCATCTTTTTAGACTGTTGCTAAGAGCTACGGACATATAGTTTTTTTCCTTGAACATTTTTTGGAGTTCATCTTGTTTTCTTGATTAGTGTAATTTGCAATCATTTAAGGTGTATTTTTGCAATATTTTAAGTCTGTTAATCCTTATCTTGCTTTATAAACTTTATCTTTTCTCTTCCAGTAACTCTAATAGTGGTTGCTGCCTTGTTGGAAGTGAAGATATTTAAAAAAAAAAAAAAAAATTATAATCAATGTATTTTTATTAATCAAAAGTCCTCAAAGTTTATTTAATATTTGAGATTTCATCTTTAATCAAATTGCATTACTAGCTGTTACAAATTTCATGTCACTCATTTTTAAATACTGTGTTTAATTTTAACCCCAAATAATATTGCATGACAAACAAAACTTTTTACCTGCTTATATAATATATCATATATTTTAAACCTAGGTTAAAACTAAATCTAAAAACCATCCATTCAAAATATCCATTATAATAATAATCATCATTTAAGATTAAAAGTGAAGTGTGAAAAAGAGCACTTAACTGCAAATGTTTTATATTTATTTGTGATGTTTTATTTTCTGATATGTATTGTAATTATTGTTAAATAAATGTTAAAAATTTTAGTCATCTCTTCAAGAGCTAATGGATACTCTTAATCAATCTCATCCGCTTTTTGTTCGATGTGTTCGTTCTAATGCAAAAAAGGTATTTGTTTTGGTGTCTTAATTATATAAGCTTAACTTGTAAGTCTTTTATTTTTAACTATATTGATATGCAAAGATAACAATGACAACAACAATGAAGATAATAATAATAATAATAATAATAATAATAATAATAATAATAATAATAATAATAATAATAATAATAATAACAGCAGCAATAATAATTGCTTATCATTCAAATGGTTAGTTTTGTATTTAATAAATCTGAAAATCAATATAATCACTGAATGAAAACAATAATTATTTTAGGCTCCTCTTGAATTTGATGCAGAGCTTATACTGAGACAACTGAGATATACAGGAATGTTGGAAACAGTAAAGATAAGACAGGCTGGTTATTCAGTGCGTTTGCCGTTTGAGGTAATTTATAAATTATTGTTGAAGTACTGTAGGCGATTCCTTAGTTCACGGTTTTTATATTATTTATAAAAGTTAAAAACTTAAAAGAGACTTTACAATATTAATAGTTTGCAAACTATAAATATTGTAAATCCTTTTTAAGTCTAAATATTGAATTTTTTCAATTAATCTAATCATTATCTTCTATATGTTACATACATCTTTTTACAAAGTTAAAGCTGTTTTCAGCTTTAGCCTTGTCATCACCACAAAAGAAAACCCAAATAAAAAATGTGACATTTTTATATTTATGTAACAGTATGTGAATTGTTATGTTAGTGTTTCAAAAGTAGACTTTATTGAACCTATGGCATGGGGATAAATTTGTTCTGTAAAATATGATTAAAATTGTGTAATATGTTAGTAACAAGTAGTTGATATTTTTTTATAACTTCGGTATTATCTTAATTTTAATATTCCATTTTATATCAGGACTTTGTGAAGCAGTTCAAGGTTTTGTTTCCTGCTAACATTAGTACTTCTTCTAGCAGTGGAGAGTTAACAATTCTTCTTGTAAAACTTGGTTTGAATCCTGGAGACTTTCAAATTGGGGCTACTAAAGTATAGTTTTTCAAATTTATTTTTATACTTTTTGCAAAGTTTGTAGATTCATTAACATTTGTTTTATTTGTTTTAGGTTTTTATGCGTGAAAATCAGTACCAGCTGATGAGGTTTTTACTTCAAAAGAAATGTGATGACAGTGCCACAAAAATTCAAAAGTGGTACTTGGCATGTTATCAGCGAAGACTCTTCTTACAAATGGTTAAAGCTGTTATAGAGATTCAAGTAAGGAATTTATATTTTATTAAAGTATTATATATTAAAAAAATATTATATATTAAAATATTATATGTTTAAATATTATATACTATATATATTTTGTTTAAAAAAAAATGATATTTAATGAAAAAAAAGTAATATTTATTGAAAAAACCATTCAATAAACATTGCATTTTTAACCCAAGGCAAATTCATTAAAGAGCCTGTATAGAACAGATAAATAAATCGGGATTAACAGGTTTCAACATGCTCACCTTAGATAAGCCATTTTTATTTCGTTTAATAATTTTTAAAAGGAAACACTAATATATGAACTAAGGTCAGTATGAAACGCAACTGATGATCTTTTAAATATGAATTTTTTATAGAAAATATGGAGGGGTTATCAGGGCAGAAAATTTTACAATGAATACAAATTACGCAACATGGCAGCTTTACATATTGTTGAATTTTGGAAATATCACAAAATTAAAAGGCAAACTGGAACTTATTTTATGCAGTATAAAAAAGCAGTCGTTACTATACAAAGTGCTTGGAGAGGATATTCAGCTAGGAAAAAGTAGATTATTTTTATAGTGCTGTGATGTGTTTTACATATCTAGTAAATAATTTATATTAGAAATGGCATATGTGAGGTTTACAAATTGTATTTTTTATTTAATTCTATTTATAAATTTTGCCTTCTTTCTTTTTATCTCTTTTTCTTCATTCAATGTTTTTAAATAAAAGTTTGACAGTTTAACTTAGGTTGTTAGTTTAACTTGGTTTTTCTATTTTATATTAACTTTGTTTTCATTATTAGTGTTTTCCTTTATTTTAAACTATTTTTATTGTTAACTTTGTTGCCTTTATAGTATTGTAATTCCTTTATTTTTTATTAGAATAAAAATTCTAAAACTAGAAGATAAAGAACACCGTGAAATTGTGTAAGTTGAACTCTTTTTTGTTTTGGTTAGCTGTATAGACTATATAGAAAATTATAAAAGCTAATGTTTGTAGAAAATTATGATAAAAAAAAAATATTTACAGTTTTTTTTAAGTTTTTCAAGTTGGTGACAAAAAAAAAAAAAAAAAAAATACCTATAACACTGTAAAAATAAAATTCTCTGTGAAGAGAATTTTATTTTGTTAATTGCTTTAAAAAAATTTTTAACAAGATTTCTAACCCAAAATCTTTAACGTTCATTTTTAATCTCCATAACCTTTTTTTAATCTCCATAACTTTTTTTTTAATCCAAAATCTCCATAACTAACTTATTAACTTCACTAATATCTTTTTTTTTACAGCAATCTTTTTGTTTCATCGCCAAAACAACCACCACTTGAAGCCGTTACACAAGAAACAGTTACAAAAGAACCAGTCTTACATAAAAACTCTGACGGCGTGCCCTATTCTTCACATAGGAGTAGACAACAGTATGTAACTAAATCACATAAGAGTAGACAACAGTATGTAACTAAATCACATATGAATAGGTTACAGTATTGAACTAAATCACATAGGAGTAGATTGCATAATGTAACTAAATCACATAGGAGTAGATTACAGTATGTAACTAAATCGCATATGAATAGGTTACAGTATTGAACTAAATCACATAAGAGTAGATTGCATAATGTAACTAAATTACATAGGAGTAGATTACAGTATGTATCTAAACAGGAATAGATTTCAGTATGTTACAAAATCACATGGATAGATTACATTATTTAGCTAAATTAATAGACCAGTTAGGGATAGATTACAGTATACAACTAAAATAAAGCAGTATAGCTAATAAACTTTCTATTACTTAACTAAAAAAACAATTAACTTATGTAAATATTAACCTCTGTTGATTTAAATTTTTTTATAAATTAAAAAGTTTTTTTTTTTTTTTTTTGCAAATTAAACAGTTTTTCAATTCAAACTGAGGATAATTGTTAGAGGATATCTAACAATAATAACAATAAAAAAGTTTTATAATATATAACAATATAAAAGTTTTAAAATAATAAAAAACAATAGTAGGGACAAAAAAATTTATTTTTGATTTTGTTGTTGCTTTTGAAATTTTTTTTCTTTTTTATATATATAAGTATATTAAACTTAGTTATATTATAAGTATATTAAACTTAGGGTGATTTTGTAAGGTATTGTGTAAATATCAATTAATATCTTGCTAAATTATTTTATTTAACTAAATTGTCTAATTTTTCTTTACTTCATCAATTAGGGCTTGCATTTTTTTTGATAAAGATGTTCATTAAAATCTGTTATTTATTATTACTATAGTTAGTAACAGATTTTTAAAGTTAAAATGTTATGTTTTATTAGTTATTTACAATTGTAAAAATTATACATGGCTTTTGGTAATTTTTTTTTGCATAAGCCAATTATTTTCACTAACAGAGTATTAGACAAAAATATACTAAAAAAAATTTAGTTATTTTTATGTTTATTTATTTTTTATAGTTAGTTTTTATTAGTTTTTTTTTTTTTATCTATTAGTTACCATTTTTAAATTTTTTTAACATCTAAATGTTTACTAATTTTGGCCCTCAAATTGAGGACCAAAAAAATGACAATATGTCCAGTAAACTAGAGACACTCAGGGTTCATTTGGCATAAAAATAAGAGAGAAAATTTAGACAGTATGCAATATTTTCAACATACCGGTTAAATAAAATGATGGGTAAATACCTATGTTTTATTCATAAATAGATATAATTGATAATCCAATGATATAAATGTGATTTTTCATAGATTTTAGATGTTCTAAAATAAAATCATTTTGAGGGTTTTTGTTCAAAATGTCTTGTTCCTATTTAAGGCTCAAACATACTAACTAGAAAGTAAAATTTTATACACCATTTTTATTACAGTCTCCATCAAAATGTTTAAAAGAGCATCACAACTTTTAAAACAGTATAAGAATATAGAGCATTTAAAGTGCTGTCAGTAAAAAAAGGAATGAAGCTTTTTGTTTGGGTGATTTATGGGGTTTTAAAGCAAGGCAGTTAGAGGAACCATTACTGTTTTTAAAAGAATTTTTTCTTAATTTTTTCAGTCTTAATTGTTCTTGCCTAATAAAGTTATACTAAAATAAGGGAAAATGAAAACATGTTTTTTCTTTTTTTTAAATCTTCACTTTCCAACAAGGCTGCAAGCAACCACTATTAGAGTTGGAAATTACTAAAAAAGAAAAGATAAAGTTTATAAAGCAAGATAACGATAACAGATGACTTGAAAAATTGCAACTTATATGTATCAGGAAAACAAGATGAAGGAAGGAAATTCCAAAGAACTTATGTTGGAGGGGAAAAACTAGACGAATAAGAATTTTCGGAGCACTTAAGAACAGTCTTAGTACAACAACATTATGACAATGTGACAATGGTTGAAGGTTTGTTGTAAAAGCAGGTCCAGCTATATTTAGAATAAGTTTTTGCACCTTGTTTAAAATAGAAAGGGTATCATTTAAAGATTCAGATTGCTCTCCAGAATTTTTTAAAATAGGGATAACAGATACCGCTTTCCAGCAGGCCGGAAAAGAAGGCTCTGATAAGCATTTGTTAAATAGAAAGTATATGTGACAGCTCCGGAGAATGCTTCTGCAAGACTATAATAGGTATGTTGTCTGGACCACAAGCTGTAGAAGAATCTAAGCAGGAAATCACTTTAGATACAGAAGCTAGAGTGATATGAATGTCAAGCAATGGATCAACCTGGTTGTTGGCTATATCAGGTAGAACACAACTAGTGGAATCAAGAGATAATATTGATGAAAAGTTCTTAGCAAACGATTCAGCTTTGTCTTTTGGTGAGGTGATAAATTCTGAACCATACAAGAGAGGTGGAATAACAGATTTGTCCATATTATTGATACTGTTAAAGATTCTCCAGAAGTCATAAGAGCCTCATTTTTAGGATGAAATAGAAGATTTCATGACCTGAGAATAGTCGGCTTTGGTGTAGACAAAACTTTTTTACAATTATTTCTAGCAATAGTAAACGAATGTTTGTTTTCTGGAGAATTATTTTGCTGTTACATATGGAAGTAATGGTTATGATAGGAAATTACAGCAGCACTATGTGAGGAAAACCATGGAGAAAAGTGAGGCTTGACTTGAAGTTGTCGAGAGGAAATAAATAATTCCATGCCAGCCTGAATCCAAGAAGTTATGTAAGAAGCACATTTGTCAGCAGGAAGACGAAAGAAATTTACCCAAGGGGCATCACAAAGAAAATTACGGAAAGAGTTCCAGTCAGCTTTAAGGTAGTTGTAAAAGGTATGATGATAGGGGGATTCTGATGATGAAGAAGAATGAGATAGTAGTTTTATAGAGGTCAAACAGTGATCAGAAGCACCTAAGGGTAAATGTGGAGAAACTGAGCACTAACTAGGATTAGAAACAAGACACAAGTTGAGTAGAGAAAGTAAATGATTCATATTGTCTAAAAAAAAAAGCAAGTTGGAAAGTTGACTACTTGTGTTAGAGATTAAAGGGATCCCTAAGTGCTATAAAGATATGATCTCATATGAAAGAGCATTAAAAAAAAAATGTTTGATGTATATTATTTTTTCTAAAACGTAATAATGAACACACACTAACAAATTTAATTTTCAAAAAAATGCTTTTCTTCGATTAAAAAAAATGCGTCTTGTCCAAAGTTTGTTGACTCTACTGCCTCCAAAATCTAACGTTAGTACGTCAAATTAAACAAAGTAGACAAAATGTCATTATTGCAAACTTATTAGTTGGTAATTAAATTTAAAAGTAAAGTTTTTTTTTTTCATCTAACACATAATTACTTACAAGAATAAGTTTTGTAGCATTTTGTGAAAATATATTTGTATATTAAATTTTTTTTTATAATATTAATTTATATATTTGTGTTATAAGGGCAATTCCACGGCTAAAAATGGGGAAACATTAAATCCAATCCGTCAAAGTGCTGTTGGAACAGTTTTTAAAAATTCTAGACCCGATTATGGCATTTACAATGTGATATAAATGCTATCAAATTGATATTAAACGAAAAAATTATTAATAATAACATGATGATAATAAATATTAAATACAAATGTTAATAAATGTTATTTAAAATCTCAGAGTTTCTTTTATTTTAAAGTACAACAATATTTCCATTGGAGATCGTATCGGTCAGTAAAATTTAGATTGCACTTTGAAGGATTGGATTTAGTGTTTTCCCTAAAAATGAATAGAAGTCAAATTTTAAACTCTTTTTAGTCAGTTAAAAACAAATGAATATTGACTTAGACATATGAAAGTTTATTTAAAATATTTCCTTAGTAAAAAATTAAATTTATTTCAGTAATTTTATATTTTTAAAAGTGACGGTTACTCTCATTTTTGCTTGATAAAAAAAATAATGATTGTTAAATTAACATTTATGTTTGGTATATTTTTTTGGTTCAAATTGATAAGGTTGAATAGACATTTTATTAGAAATTAAACAGAGGGCTCGAATTAACTCAAAAAAATCTAATTGCGAAAAAAAATTTTTTTTTTTTGCTCTCCTTCCCCCCTCCCCCCCTCTCTCTTATAGCTTGCGCCGATGTGCGTTAATGGGGGGAATAAATTATCGTCAATAAATCAAAAAACATTGTCAAAAACTTAATAAAAAATTAGATACCACGTTTTTTATAATTTATTGTTTCTTGAATAAAGGACTAATAAAAGTTTAAATATAATTAAGTTTTTCATTTAAATGGTTGATGTTTTTATTCAATTTTTCTATTTCAAGTTTTCCAATAAAAGATAAAACAAAAAAATTTGGTTTAATAAATCGAATTATACTTCATGTTTAAAATAAGGCTTAAAAACGTTAAAGTAAAAAAAATGCTGGTTTTTATTAGCATTTTTATACTGTTTGAAAAAAAACTAATAAAAAAGAATTAACTAATAGTATATTAATTAATAATTATATATTAATTCTTTTTTATTAGTTTTTTTTTTCAAACAGTATAAAAATGCAAATAAAAGTCAGTAATTTTTTTGCTCTAACGTTTTTAAGCCTTATTTTAAACATGAAGTTTTGATAAACAAAGATAAAAACCAACTTTTCAACGTTTTACTTTAACGACCTTGTAAAAATATTCCACGCAGAGATTTAAAGTAATTTAAATTCAAAAATGTTTTACGTTGAAAGAAAATTTCCGCGCGAAAGAGCAAATCATCTATTCATCTATCTATTCAGAATAATAATTTTTGTTTGACGTTCTTTATGATAAAAACATTACTTTTAAGAATTGCTAAAAAAAATGCTAAGCTAGAAAAAAAGTAATTAATCAACCAAAAAAAAAACAAGTTGCAAAAAGATTTTTTTTAAGAAAAAACTAATCACAAAAGTGTGTGTTGCAATCGGGATCGCGATACGCTTAATACGAGCCCTGTAAGACTTTTTTATA